GGTGGGGACGGGGCGGGGAGGCCCGCGGGCCCCGCAGGAGGAGCAGAGCGGCCGGCGGGGCGGGAGGAGATGGTGACGCAGAGAAAGGACTTTGCCAACTGTGTTTTTAATGGAGTAAAATCCATGTGGTTTATATATATTTTTTTTTTCCTTTAATCTTGGGCATTTCGTTTCTCTTTCTGAGAACATAACTTGAAAACACTACAGAGCCAATACTCATATAAAGAAAAATTGTATCCCATAAATGCTGTACAGTTTTTATATACATTAACAATGTACTTTTGCTGCCTTCTAGATAATTTATTTTGCAACACATTACTGCACAGTTGTAAATAACTTATGTACTGTAACATCACTTTCAGTTATGTGTAAAGAAATAAATAAATTAATTAAAATTATCTTTGTATGTATAGCTCACCCTAGGCAGCTCTTTCCCAGGACAGTGTGCAGTTATGTGGAAGCCTGTCTGGAGAAGGTATGGAGAGATATCACCTGTGGTCCATGTTGCCAGGATCTCCAGATGCTGACCTGATTTTTAACAGCATGTGGTTTTTCTCCTCTATCCCCTGCCCCTTTGACTTCAGTGGAAACGTGAACCTGGCGGTGCTGACCCTGTGCTGCAGGTGGGGGGACCCCAGGGAGCCCCCCCGTGCCATGTGCCAGCTGGGGACACAGTGTGATGTGACAAAGGATGTTTGGGCTCGGGCTGGTGAGTTTCTGGAGCAGCCGCGCATCAAGGAGCTGCTCTTTTGGGGCTGCAAAGCAAGGGGAAGGACGAGTGAAGCCCAGTGCTGCCCAGGTTTGGTCCCTGCTGGAGCTGCTTCCTGGTGGGAAGGAGCTCAATGTGCCCTTGTATTGGGTGCCAGCTCTTCCTGCCGCCATCCTGCTGCTGTGTGCCCGCACCGTGGCCTGTTCCACAGGGAGCTGTGTTGGATGTGCAGCTCTTGGTGGAGCTGTAACCCAGCCCGGGCTTGGGGCAGTTGGCAAAGTCGACCCTCGAGCACAAACTCACAGGGGTGTTGCTGGAGACAGAGCCAAGTGCCTCTTCCAAGCCCTCCGTGCCTTGCACCTGCTGCTCGGCCTCTCCCGCAGCAGGAACTCGGCAGCCCCCGCGCTGCCTCTGCCACAGCTGCTGCCCCAGGCTGGAGCAGCCAGACCCGTGGACTCCTGCTGCTGGCACCTCCTTCTCCTCCTGCTTTTTTCTGCTCAGCTTTGCCGCGTGCACGTGGTGGTTGAACGTCCCAGCTGCTGCTTTTGGAAGCAGAGATGTTACAAATGCGACTTGGCTCCTCTTCCTCTGACCTAAGGGGTCCAGAGGGGACCTGCTGAATTCACAGCCGCTTCTCAGCCCTGTTCGCCTCCTTCCGAGGCTCTTGCTCAGCCCGGGCAGCCCCACCAGGCCCAGGTGGGCTTGGCAGGGTGCAGGCAGGAGCAGGCAGCCCGGGCTCAGCCTGCCAGACACAAGTCCCCAGCAGCCGAGCACCCACTGCACTGAGACGCCTCCGCACCAGCTCCCCCCTCACTGTGTTGGCTTTGCAGCTGCGTGAGGAATTTTCCATGGTCCTTGAGCTGGGCACCTCAGGGGTTTCACTCCACCACCTCACAGCCCGGGGCTCCTGTCTTCCCCAGCTCCTGCCTCGGCTCCAAGGGCCTGTTCCTGGCAGGGATGGGGTGGGGTCACCACCGGCAGAGCAGGACGGGCAGTTTGCTGGTGGTGACGGTGCCATGGGCACAGCCAGAGGGATTTTCACCCCAAATCCTTACCCTGGGCCACGTGGGTAACTGGCACAGGCACCTGGGATAGGAAGCTGGTCTGCTTTGGGGCTTCATTCCAAAACATGAGGAAGTGACCACAAGTAGCACTTATTTTTAAACTCATTTCCAGCCCTGCTCCCTCTTTTGTTAAACAATTGTACATTTCTGTGAGCACAGAGAGACCTTTCATCTGCCCTGCACAGCAAGAAGGGTCCCGTGCTGTGTTGGGTCCCACGGCTGGGAGGCTCGGGACTCACGGGGTTAAGTTTTCCGTCTTTCCACTCCTCTGGGCCACGTAGGAAGGTGCAGGCACCTCCCAGGTCCCACCTCTGGGTGCCGGTCCGACCTGCGTGGCAGCGCGTGGGCTGTGACCGGGGCTGTGACGCCAAGGCCGGGTGATCTTACCCCGTGTTTGTGGCACCACGGCCCCGGTGCCGCCCCGGCAGCCCCGTCCCCCGTTCCCACCTGGGCAGGTTAAATGCTGCTGTGGTTTCGCAGGTGGGATTTTCCTCCCCCCGCTGCAGGCAGGGAGCTGAGAGCTGCTGTTGTCCCTCAGCGGTCGCGGTTGGAAATAAATGGAAAAGAGACAAAGAGAGAGAGAAAAAACAAACCAGAAAATCTTGTTTGCACCTCGGCTGTTTCGCTGCCGTTTCCCACGGGCTCAGCAGGGGGTCAGTGGGCTCTGACCAGTTCCTTCCTGGGGGGACCAGACCCCACCAGCCCCCTTTGAGGTCTGAGGGGACTCAGGTGCGTTTTGTGTGGTCCCCTCTGCAGCCCGGGACCCCCGGCGCCAACTGCACCTGGGCTTGGGCGCCTTGGCCGGGACCACCATGGAGGGGGGGGGCAAATTGGGCTTGGGGGGACAAACTGGGCTGGGGGAACCAAAGCAGGGTTGGGGTGGGAGCGTGAC